GTAGCCATGGACCTGCGAGCGGAGCTGCTGAAGTCCATCTGGTACGCCTTCACCGCCCTGGATGTGGAGAAGAGCGGCAAGGTCTCCAAATCCCAGCTCAAAGTGAGTCCTTGAGGGGGAGCTCGGACGGCCCCGGCGCGGGGCTGGCAGGGGGGCTGCGAGGGGCAGAGCGGGTCCAGGGATGCTTTGCATCCCCCACGGGTTTCCACCGAGGAATCATTAAATATTAAGGTTAATAACGCCTTGCTGTCACCTCCACGCTGGTTTTGGTGAAGTTCTCCGTCTCTGCCTTGTCTCCTTTTAAAAAAAAAAAGGGGGGGTTTTAATGCTCAAACGTATTTTCTAGGTGAAAATAGGAGAAATCTGATTTTTAGTTGTTTTCCATTTTTTGTGCTTTTTATGCCCAACTAACAGCCCCAACACAGGTTATATTTTCCTGCTTGCCAGAGCACCCACGTTTCTGCTTCCTGTTCGGCCGGCGGGTCGGTAGGTAGGGGCAGACCATTTTTAAACGAAAACTCCTCAGCGGTCTGGCCAGAAATAACACAGTGCTTTTAAAAAATCTCTGATTTTTCCCTCTCCTCCACCCCCTTAGCAGCTGTGCAGAGCGCTCCTGCGTTCAGCCCTTCATCAAAACCATCGTGGCTTTTGAAAACCTTTCTGTCTCTGCCTCCAGGACGGAGTCTGGCTGAATCCACCAGGTTGTACCTTGGCTTGGACAATAATTATTGATTTGGGAATTTTTTTTTTTTTTCCCTTTGCAAATGATGGGGCTTGTTTTTTTTCTCGCTGTGTGAATGTCCCGCTGTGGTTCTGAGGCTGGCGCCGGGGTTGGAAATGCCGGTTGGAGCAGGGGGCTGCGATGCAGAGGAAAGACCTGAGCTAGAAGCATGCAAAACAGGGGGAGATGTTGCGTCAGGGCTTGGCAGCTGCTGCCAGTCTGCAAGATGAGTTGTGAAACGCTGCAAAGAAACCTCTTTTCCTCTATTCCCTCTGCTTTATAGGGCTGCAGGACAGACAGGTGCTGGGCTTGGCGGGGGAAGGTGTGTTTTGCCCCAAAATTAAGAGTTTTGTTTGCAGGGGTCTGGAGGAGAAGCAGCAGGAGCCAGGCTCCTCCTGCTCAGCCGCTGCCTCTGCAGCCGACAGCCCCCAGAAACTCGGCGCACATGTGCCCGGCGAGCCAGGCTCCCCTACTTAAAACTGCAGAAATATCTGAAGGAATTAAGGAAAATCCCAAAGCAGGCCAGAGCCTAATTCCCCTTGCTAATCCCTGAGAAGGGCTGCTGTGCTCCCCTCACAGCATCCCCTGCCACCAGGCTTTGGGTCCTGAGCCTGGCCCAGGCGCGCTGCCGGCCCCGAAAACGCTGGTGTGAACACGTGTAGCGCTCATCCTGCAAGACCTTTATCGCCAGTGACGATGCTGAGGCCACAGAGACCCTAATTTTAACGGCAATTTCCTCGAGAGTTAGTGCAGGGGGGCTGGGGGAGCTGCAAACCCCTGCGCAGGGGCTGCGGGGATGCTGGGGACGGCGTCTCTGCAGTGGCTCTGCCCAGGGTGACATTTCAGAAGGGAAGGGAGATTCACCCCTCGCTATTTTTCCACCCGCCATCAGCACCGAGACAGGACGGTGGCGGGTCGGGCTGTGCCACTGCACGACAAAACTCATCTCTGGATAACTTTCCACCGGCCTCAAGGCTGGGGAGAGCTCGTCTCCATCGCCCGTTGCTGCCAAACACTGGCTTAGGTTTGCCCCAGCCTACACAAGCCAACAGCAGCATTTCTGCTCGTAGCTTCGGTGCAGAAGAAATCCAAGGTCTCGCAGGTTTGAGCAATAACGTGTTAAAGCCGTGGTGGCCGTGCCCTCTCCAAATTCCTCCCGGGTTGTGCGAGCCGGGCTGCGCTCTGCTCCCTCACCCAGGCGTGTTGCTGCAAGAAGGGTCTTGAACAAGGGTGGATGAAATGCCGGTGTGCACAGCATTTGCACCTACGGCAACAAAAGCGGCCCCAGGAGCTGGGGTAGGATTTTGCTGGCAGATGAGCAGCACGCCGGTGGGAGCTGGGTGCTTAACTCCTCCGACATCCCTCCAGCCAGTTGCACGAGTAAATTTAGCGGCGTTTCAAAGCGCGATGGCGAATTTTTCAGCAGTTGAGGTCTTTGCATGGACATTCCTATGCAAGCGCATGCATTATGTATATATGAGTAGGTGTGTATCTGCACAGGAAGGAAAAACAGTCTTGTGGTTGAGTGCTACGCGTCGAGAGATGTCGGGTGGTTCTGTTCCCAGCGCGGGCACACACCAGCCCTGCGCTTGGATGAGCTGTTACCCTCTCCATGCCATCGCATCCTCCCTTGGCTGAGCTGGGGGGAGCTACTCCCCGTCTCTGCGGATGCTGGCTGGGATGCGGGATGTGGCTCCTGTGGGCACCCCTTTGGGGTGGCCGTGCCCGGCTGGGGCAAGCAGGTGGGGGCCACCCAGCACTGTCCCTGTGGCTTTTTGGCGCCTCTGCTCCGCTCCCCGTTGCAGAGGGAGAGGGGCGGTTTGCTGAGCGGAGCTCCATCTCCTGAGGCTGCCCACGACAGCAAAGCCCTTGGGGAGTGGAGAGGAAGAGGCAGGGGGACAGGCGAGTGGTTTAAATGCATATTGGGGGGCACAGGGATCCCCCCCACTGCCTGGAGTTGCAGGCTTGGGGTGCAAGTGGCGGAGGAGGTGGCTCTTGCTCGCGGGTCTCTGGGTATAACTGGTGCCTTGGGGGCTGGGTTAGCACAGCTAACTGGGGGGTTTATGGACCCCCTGGGGGCAGGAGGAAGGTGCCTGGCTTGGACTGAAAGCTCCTCTGCTTGTTGCATGCGCAAAAGGCTCTTGACAATGGCCAGTGGGTCCCAGTTTGGCCAGTAAGAGGTCTGAGAGCAGCTCATCCCTGCAAGCAAAGGGGAAAGCCTTCCCCGAGGGTGGGAGCCGACGGTTCTGGGGCTGGGCTTGAGCCAAGGGGTCTTGGCTGACGGGGTGGCGAGGCAGCGGTCCCCGCTCGCACCCTCCTCGCTACAGAAAATGGGCAGCGAAAGGGACCCTTGCCACTAGCAAAGAGTCCCAGCACGGGGGTCCCCTGGGACAGGAGTGGTGTACCCCCAGCTCTGGGGAGGCTCTGATCTTCTCAGCAGGGCTGGTCTGCTTGCACATGGGGAAACTGAGGCAGCAGCAACGCTCCCTGCATGGTGCAGGAGCCCCCGATTCCCCCACTGCTGCCTGTCGGGGCCAGAGGGATTTTGTGTTTTGGCCAGGCTCCAGCCTGAAAGGTCACCCCCAGCCCTGGCATCGCCCCCAGCGTCTCCCACGGGGGAGAAGAAGAGGGGCTGCCATTCTCCAGCAGCATGAAATATTCCACCCCCGGCTGTGGCTGGGGTCGGCAGCGGCCACGGTGGGTGGGAGCAGGCGGTGATGGGGGGCAGAAGAGCAGGGGAGAGGGTGGAGAACAGCATCAGGGCTGGTGCTCGGAGGGATTTGGGGTGCTCGGGGGTGTTGGGCAGACCTCTGTCCCCACCCCGGCCATCCCCTGCACACCACAGGGGAAAGGTTGCATCACCAAACCGCGCTGAGAGCATCCCTTCCCTTCTTCCCCTCCCCGTTATTTTTCCCTCCTATCCCTCGTTTCAGAGCCCAGTGGGGGTTTCCCCCTCTCCTCTCTCCGTGGGGTTGGGGCAGCCCCAGCCCCACGCACCCCGACGTCAGCCTGGCCAGGGCCTTCCCACCCTGCCACACTTTCATTTTGTAGGTGACCACCCCGGCGAGTGGCGGGGCCAGGGGCACATGCAAGACCTCCACAGATATTTTGGGGTGCTGCGAGAGGAGGTGTGAGGGATGGGGATGAAGCCCCACGTTGGAAAGGGGGGATGGGATGTGATGCCCAAACTTTCAATCCATCCTGATGGATTCATTAGCCATCCTGGAGCACACCCTGGGTGTTTCCATCCCTCTCCACCCCTGCGCAGACCCTGGGGCTGCACGGAACCCTGAGCAGCAGCGCTCGGGGCTACAGCCTGCTCAGTGTTTGAGTGCTGGGTGGAGTCCTGCTGATAACATCAGTCCAGAAGGTGAAAAAGAGAAAAAAAATCTGGTTGAGCAAGAACCTTCTGTAGCTGCAGCAGCCGGTGTGGCCTCCAGCGTCTCCTCTCCTGCTGGAAGGACATTTCCAGCCCTGCACAGAGAGGAGCAGCGAGGCTGCACACCATCTCCTCCAGCTCCTCCCTTGAAACCTTGGCAAGCTGCATCTGCAAACCCTGGTGCAATGGGACGGCATCAGTCTGGGACGCTCATTTAACCATCTCCTGCTTGCTGGGAGGTAAAGGCAAGGAGACAACCGCCTGCCCGCCATCGTGAGCCGGAGATGCTGGTGGTGCTCATGGGCAGCCTTGCTCTGGGCTCTGGCTGCTGGCCCAGCAGCAGCGTGGGCTTTCCAGCACGTGGGAAATTCAGGAGCTTCAAAACATGCTTTGTTTTGGGGGATTTGAACACAAATGTGCTGGTTGGTGACGCTCACAGGCTGCTCCTGGGGATGGTGCGTCTCCAGATCACCCTTGTCTGCTTCCATTCCAGACAAAACCCTTTCTTCATTTCTTCTAAATCTTTTCTTGGTTTCATCTTTGTGTCTCGCTGTGCCCCGTTGGCAGAAAGCAACCGCTGCCGGGCTGGGTGCCGGCGTTAGTTGTGTTTTCAAGAAATCGCTAAGGGCAGCTGCACGGCTCGGGGTGGCTTATCGTCTTCGCTAGATCAAAGCATGTCCTGTTTGCACTGTAATGTTTGAAACGGCCCCTTTTTTAAAAAAAAAAAAAACTTCCCCCATGTGCCAAGAAAGAAGAGAAACAAATGTGGAAAAATCCTCCATTTTTGCCTGTTTCTAAATGATTCTCTAAGGTTTATGTTTGGGAGTATTCCTGGTTCCTCTGCCAAACCCAAACCATGCCCCGATGCTGGGCAGGGCACGGTCCCCGGGTGGGTGGGTGGCTGGCAGCGTGGGGATGTGCTGGGGCAGGTTGGTCACCTTCTCCCCATCCCTCGTGCTCGGGCAGGTGCTGTCTCACAACCTGTACACGGTGTTGTGCATCCCCCACGACCCCGTGGCGCTGGAAGAGCATTTCCGCGATGATGACGATGGGCCGGTGTCCAGCCAGGGCTACATGCCGTACCTCAACAAGTACATCCTGGATAAGGTGAGCCCCTCAGCCATCCCCCCCAGCCCTCAAGTCTCAGGTGGGGACGCCACGGTGTCTTCTCCCGCATCCCATGGGAGCCCCACGGCTCTGCTCCCCTCTGCTCTTGGAGATCGCATGCTTTGATGGGTGGAAAAAGGATGGAGAGTTGGGGAGCACTCGGGTGAATGCCAAAACAAGTGGCAAATGTTTAATACTCAATGTCTCCTTGGCAAGGATGAAGTCAGCCCTTTCCATCGGGGCTCTGGATGGAGGTGCATCTCTGCCCACACTTCCTAAAGGGCTCAGAGAGAGAAATCAGCCCCTTTTTTCCTCTCCATCCCTGTTCAAATCTGAGGTGTGACCTCATTTGGCAAAGAGTGGGGGGAAGGGAGGAGGACGAGGTGCCGGGGCAGGAGCAGAGGTTGGGGTGGGCAGGGGCTTTCTCCCTTTTTTCCGCATGGCTCAAAAGCACCTTTGTTTGGCGCAGTGAGACTTTGCGGCTGGGTGCTGGCTCGTTTCCTCCAGGCACGAGAGGAAAGGAAAAATTTCGACTGACAACTTTCTTCCACTGTGTGCTCGAAAGAAGGGGGGGCCTGGAGCTGGGTGCAGTAACCCTTCCCTCCCCTGCCGCCTCCCCAGGGCTGAGCCGTGCCTCTCCCCGGCGTACGGTGCTCCGTGCCGGTCCATGCCTTGCCCTGAGCTGGTCAGGAGCTGCCCAGCCTGGTCCAGGGACGCCGATCTCAGCTGTGGGGATCTGGTCTGCAGCGAGCGGAGGCAGAGCCTTCCCCAGCTCCCTCTTCCCGGGGCAGGCAGCTGCCCAAGGTCAGCCCAGCCCCATCACAGAGCAGCCAAAATCCTTCCAAGTTCCCATGTGGTTTTTTGGGAGTTGACCTTTAAACCCTCTTCTTCTGTTTTCGCCATGGCTAATAAAATCCCAGAGGCAGCCTGAGAAGGGGAAGTGGGTTTTCCTAGTAAGTGGGGCTTTCAGCTTTCCACCACCTAAAGGTTTTCCTCCGGCCCCACTGCTGCAGGCTGCGGTTTGCCCTCGTGCTGGCGGCACGCGGCTCATGCAGCTGGAACGGA